TTAAAAGGTAAACGTCCATATCCTAACTATAGATTCCACTGCGTTAGGATTTATTTGGATAAAGTTCAATACTGTGCATGTTGTTTGACGTTCCTAACAGAACCCAACACGTCACACAACTTCATCAACGCCACGCTGTCTCGGAAGTTGAAGTTGACAACGACGAAAGTTGAGCCATTCGAGGTTTTAGTAGCTAATGGCGAACGACTAAGGTGCACCGAGTCTTATCGCGGGGTGCCAATAAAATTTCAAGGAGTCACCATCAAAGCCGATCTCTATGCGCTACCCTTGGTTGGACCCGACGTTGTGTTGGGAGTATAATGGCACAACGGTTTAGGAAAGGTGACCACCGACTACCGAACCGAGATCACAGAGTTCCGGTCTGGAGGTCAGCGAGTCACCCTGAAAGCTAGCGAAGATAAAGGTACCAAGGAGGTAGTATTAAAGAGTATAGAGCGGGTTTGGCATGTGGGCTGCCAGATCTTCACCGTCGAGGAGGCAGGCGCACACGCGGGCACGGTCGAGCAGTTCAAGTACAAGGATCCTCCTCTGTTCTACGAATACTTCGGAGAGGTCGAGCAAGTCTCGACGGAATATGATGGCCCACATATCTTCGACGTGTACCCTGAGGATGAACCCATGGACGTCGAAGTAGTCAACAAAGCCGAGGTCGAGGCAACCGAGGTCAAAGGAGAGGTGCACGAGGATTGGACGGTCAAGAAGCAGTAGCCCAGGATACGCGAGTTGGTTAGAGCATCCGACCACATACTAGACGAGTCCGACAAAGAAGAAGGCTGGGTCGACGCAAAGTGTAAGGAGCCTATCTTTCTGTTTGAATTCTCGAAATATTTTAAGAACTCAATGGCCATGAAGTACGAGTACGAGTTAACGGATTATGAAGGACTATCTATTTTCGATGAGTACCCCGATGAACACTTTGTCGAGGTTGAAGGAACTTGGGTAGAGTCTAAAGAAGATGTAGTGGTCGGCGAGGTTCAGAAAGAGGATGAAGAAGGTATGCTAGAGGTTTCAGTGGTTGAGGAAGAAATTGCGCACATAGTAATCGAGGTGAATCTTGAAAAGGAGGTAACTTGGATGAGGGTCGATGATGAGTCCTTGAGGACAAGGACATTCTTAAAGGGGGCGGAAATGATGCGTAAGTGGGTTTCGACCCCCGAAGAAGAGAAGGTCCGAAGATCGATACTATCTGAGAAGGCCGAGCAAAGGGCCGAAACAAGGATTGCATGGCCTAGGAGACGTGCACGAGCCCGTATGCGCGGGTGCCGACGTGCACAATGGCATAGGACATCAAGCATGTAAGGGTCTACCACGATAAGGAGGTCGAGCAAGAAGTTCGAGAGATCAAGGCTAGAAGGGTCGAGCACATGAAGGTGCGCAAGGGGACGTGAGAAGGTAGCCCATAGGCATGCAACATTAGGGTGCTTGAGGAAGGACTATGTGCAGTGGACCAGGTCCGAGTGTACGATAGCGGGCTTGGGCGATGCGGTTGACTGGTGCGAGGCGTGCGCGTGGGATGGATTTTGGGTGGACAACGCGTACATGGGACGGCCACGAGAGGACGAAAGAGCGAGCGACGACGGGCGCGGCATAGCGCGAAATCGAGCAGGAGCACGGGGCGCAGGGCGAGCGCGGGGGCGATGCCGAGCGAATGGGCATGCGCGACACCGGCGCAGGTGGCGAGGATGTGTGCGAGATGGTCACGCGGGCGAAGGGTGCGATCGCGTGTGCACACGCAGGGAGAGGCAAGACCATGGGAGCAAGCCTAGTCCTCATAGGAATAGGCAAGTTGCAAATACTAGACCCCGCAGGACTAGAAAAAGCAGCTGAGTGCCGGAACGCGTGTGAAAGATTGGTGACGGGAGTAATCCTCGGATGATCAGGCAACGTAGCCGGGAGCATATTCCTAGTAGGAATAAGCATAGTGGATGTGGGCCCGAAGCATGATCCTTGATGGAATAGGAATGGTGCACACATGGCGCGAGACCTTAATCCTCGAGCCAAGAGGATAGGCGGGCGTAGGAGGCGCGACCCTAGTCCTCGAGGACTAAGGAAAAGGCACGCGGGCGGTGGAAAAGTCCTAGGTGGCGAGAGGTTGAGGCGGCTAGGAGTTTGGAGTGGAGTGCAAGACAAGACTACTTGGATTGCAAGCCAAGGCATTAGATCCCCTAGCTTTTTGGTTTTCTTATTGCTTTATAATTTCTAGTTTGTTTAGGATTCTTAATAGTTTATTGCTTTATTAGTTCCCTAGGTAGATTAGTACTAGATATATTTTGTGCCTATATAAAGGCCCTTACCCCATGTTATTTTTCATCATTCAGTTTATCAATAAAAATCCGAACTTTTGCTCAAACACTTTGTCTTAAATTTCTTTTAGATTTCTATTGCAATTTTATTCGTTTCACTAGGCGCGGTTGTGGCTAGAGAAACACCTATCGGTGATTCAAGGCGCGGATTCGTGGCTTGTGGGCAATCGAAATACTCGATCTTCATCATTGTTGCTTTCATTGGGAGGTGTTAGATCGTGTGTTTTTTTCCTACTCTATTCCCTTTCTTTTTCTTTTCCTATTTTTCGTCCACTCCTTATTCAAAAAAAAAAAAAAAAAAAACTCTTCAACTCCAGTCCTAGAAGCAAAGAGCGAAAGCAAGAGAAGAAAGCCATGGCTAACAAGGAGATGAAGGATAAGCTCGAAAATCTAGACGTGCAAGTCCGAAGTATGAGCGAGGCTATGGATACCCTAGGCGAGGGTCTCAATACTACAAAGGCGTCCGTTCGTGAATTTATGGAGATCATGAACCGAAGGTTCGATGAGATGGCTCAAAATTTCCAACAACATGAGCGCCAACCACCACGGCAACAAGAGCGCGAGCGGCCTGAGCAGGAGCGAAACCTGGAGCACGAGTGGGACGTAGACCACGAGCGACGGTGCGAGGAGTACGAGCGGGAGGACGACTTCGACCGGCGGTCCCAGGCATCTAGCTATCGCGATCGCCCGAAGCCCGAGAAGTCGAGGATCACGCTGTCCACCTTCACCGGCAACGACCCCGACGCATGGCTTAATCGGGCTATGCAATACTTCGAGCTCCATGAAACTGAGGGGAACGAGCGGGTGCGATACGTGGCCTACTACTTAGATGGCGAGACCAACGTGTGGTGGTTGTGGCTTACAAGCGTCTACCATGGCCGACAACAAGTCATCAGGTGGGACGATTTCGAGTGCGAGTTACACATGCATTTCGGAACATCTGACTACCACAACTACGATGAGGCTCTCACGCTAATAAGGCAGAAAGGTAGCTTACATGATTATTTAAAAGAATTTGAGCATTTAGCTTGTCGAGTAAGAGGCTGGCCCGAGACCGCATTAGTAGGGGCTTTCATAGGCGGCCTAAAGTTTGATCTAGCTGCTGAAGTGTGCTTAGAGCGTCCCAAGACAATGCATGCCGCCATGGAGGTTGCTCGACACCAAGAAGATCATCTTGTGGCAACTCTAAGGGGGCGGGCAGACGCACGCTACCCCGAGATGCGACACGCACAACTGGGTGCAAGCAATATGGTTCTAAGCGGCCGACCGCCTGATAACTCTCGACCGACCAATAGCGCGCGACCACCTGGACTGGAAGTCAAGCACTTGTCGCTCGAGGAGATAAGGGGCCGGCATGAGAAGGGGCTTTGCTACAAGTGCGAAGAAAAGTTTACACCGGGCCACCGCTGCAAGCAAGCCTTTGTGATAGAAGTCGTCGACTTCGACGAAGAAGAACTCGTGATCGATGAGCACGAAGAGAACGAGATTGAGGTCGCGGTGCTCGAGGAAGACGCCGAGATCTCAATGCATGCGATGGCTGGTACTCGAGGACCGAGGACGATGTGGCTATGTGTAACACCCCACTTTGATTTTACAGAAATTTCGAATTTTCCAAAAACCAGTA